CACCTGATTTGTGTCAAATATTTCAAATTTTGTTTTTACAGTAATCACTGAGATTTGTGCCGCGAGGCAAAATGAACGATGAGTGGAAAGTGGAGTGCGACACTCACTTCGATCCATGAAGAACCTGAGTGGTGGTCGCCTGCTTCGAGCCGCGCAATGCTGTGTACAAACCGAAGAAGGAAATCGCAGCAAGAAGACCCACAAGCACCAACACATCCACGGCATCCATATCTCAATTCCGGCAAATCCCACAACAAACCTAGCAAAACAGCTTGTAAGATTGGCTAGATAATTATGAAACCAAGTACGATCTATCTGGAAGCTGAATGCAAAATAAGACACCCAAAAAAAAAAATACTGTGGGAAATGCGAATTTTTGAGGAATAAAAATTTTTTGAGAAGAAATACGAGAAATGTCACTCCCCTTTATCAATCCAAAAAGCAACTCCGAGCAATCCTGACTTCCTTAGAGCGCCACGGGAAAACCAACCTGCCTCTCCCCCTCTCCTCCCACCTCAGCACAGCGCATTTAAATCTCCATTTCCTGCTACTGCAGCGGCATCGAGAGTTTTGTATGAACAAACCCAGGCCGCAACGCACTAGGCTTGCCGTATCATGTATTTTTGCATGATTCCATTCTGTAGAACAATCAGCTGTATCAGGTGTTGCAGTGCGCCTCTGCCTAGGCAGAAGCTCATTATGCGTTTTGTGCTGTGTAACAGCGTTACAAGACGCATATTGTCACGGAGTTGTCTGTGTGTGTGTCCCACATTTTGTCCCGCACTTTCAGCTCGGGAACCACAAAAGCTAGGCGGCTGAAATTTTAATATAGTGTTCCCCGCCAACGGGTGACGCGGCAAATTTAAATTCAGCCTTCCCGTACCCAAGGGTAATTCGTACGGCCCCGTGAAAGTTTTTTACGGGTAAATCAATATCTCAGGAACCACGGAGTCTAGGAGGCTGAAATTTTAGGGTAATGACCCCCTGCCTAGGAGGCTGAAATTTTAAGCTAATGATCCCCTGCCCACGCTTAACCTTGCCCATTCAAATTCAGCCTTTCCCGTACCCACGGGTAACTCGTACAGCCGCGTGAAAGTTTTTTACGGGTAAATCAATATCTCGGGAACCACGGAGTCTATGAGGCTGAAATTTTAGGATAATGACCCCCTGCCCACGCTCAACCTTGCCCATTCAAATCCAGCGTTCCCGCGCTTTCGGGTATCACCTACGGGCTAATGAAAGTTTTTACGGGTAAATTATTATCTCCGGAACCACGGGGTCTAGGAAGCTGAAATTTTAGGGTAATAACTCCCTGCCCACGCTCAACCTTGCCTATTCAAATCCGGCGTTCCCTCGCTTTTAAGTACCACCTACGGCTTCGTGAGAATTTTGGCGGCTAAACTATTAACTAGGGAATCACAGAAAGATATTCACCCTTCAAG